ATAGTATTATATCAAATAAACCTATCAAAAGAAAAAATTCAAACAGCTGACAAATACATAAAAAAGTTTCCTATCAAGCAACTAGAAGTCTTCTTCTACAAGATATAATCTCAGCCTGGAGAAACTGGCCAATATAATTATATCCGTACAAAAATGCTGGCAATGATGTAGAAAAAGAAAAACTCATATGTGGATGTAAATTAACACAGCCCTAACAGTGAATATAGTATGGGTGTTTCCTCACACTAAAAATAGATCTACCATATGATCCAGTTAATCTCAAAAGACTGAAAAAGGATCTACATAAAATCCAGCAGCACTACTATGTGTGTCTATGTATTGTTTTTTTAAGAAAAGCAAAGAGGGACATACACATCCCTGTGTACTGTGGCATGACACACAATAGCTAAAACATGTAATTGTCATAGGTGAAATCTCCAATAAAACCAACAGAAAATCTAGCATACAAATATAGTGTAATTCAACTGCATGAAATGAATGGAACCAGACTGTATTATGTTAAGTGAAAGTAACCAAACAAAAAGACCTGCACTTGTGGAAGGTTAAAAGAATGTTGAGGCCGGCGGTGGTGGTGCATGCCTTTAATCCCAGCACTTGGGAGGAAGAGCCAGGCGGATCTCTGTGAGTTCGAGGCCAGCCTGGGCTACCAAGTGAGTCCCATGAAAGGCGCAAAGCTACACAGAGAAACCCTGTCTTGAAACCACCCCCCCCACACACACACACAAAAAAGAATGTTGAGCTGAATGTAGAAATAAATAAAAGATGTGGAATAGGGGTGTCTGAGTATGGAAGGGAGGGAAGTGGTGGCTACAAAGGGAAAGTGGATTTTACCAGTTATGTAGTGATTTCAATAATATGTAAAATTTATACATGTTAACAAAAAATGAAAGGGTAAGAAAAAAGATAAATCTTATAAGGTATTGTGAACATTCTAGAAGCATAAACAAAAAAGACAAATACTACCTTTGAAATAATTACTGTAAACGTTTCACATCATGGAACCATACAGATAAATATACCCAGTTAGCTGAATGGCACCTATTATAACAGCTAAAAAAAATGATCTTGATTGAGACATATTACATTCAAACTGTAAACAGAACAAGAAAAAGAAAAATTCTAGAAGCTGAAGTGATAGCTCAATTGTTTAGAGCACATACTGCTCTTTTAGAGGACCTGAGTTCAATTTTCAGCAATCATACCAGTTGGCTCACAATGCCTGTAACTCTGGTTCAGGGAATACAAAACCCTCTCTTGGCCTATGTGGGTACTATAGTCATACATTCAGATACATTGATGCACATAATTAAAAGTGAATCTTAAATAAGAAATATCTCTGAAAGCATCAAGAGAAAAATCATCAAGTGGCATGTAAGAGACTCACCAGTAGACTAAGGACCTTTCAGAAAGATCACATGTAATGAAAGGATGAAATGATAAATTCAAATTTCCCAACAATCATAAGCAAGCAAGCAACTGCTAAGTCAACACTAATATACTTAGTGTATCATTTGTAAATGTAAAATATCATTTTTAAATAAAGATAGACAAAAGCTTTCAACAGTAAGCAAATATTACAAAAATATATTTCTACTAGACTTGCTACAAAACTAAATACTGATGTGAGTCCTAATATTGGAAATAAAAATATAATTACTATCATGAAAACATATGATCCTAAAAAACTTACAATAGAGCAGATACATGAAAAAGAAAAGAAAATATTATCAATATTATCAGAAGAAAAGACAGGAAAAAAGGAACCAAGAACATACAAAACAAAGAAAAGGATTAACACAACAGGACAGAAAAATGTCTTACCAAAACCTTAAATGTAAATGGATTAAACTCTCTAAGTGGAAGACAAGACTGACTGAATGTATTAAACAAACCAAAATTCCTCAATATATAATGACTATAAAAAACAAACCCTGTAACAATAAAATCACAAAAACTGAAGGTAAAGACATCGAGCAACAGACCATGACAACAGAAACTACAAGAAAACAGTAGGAGCCATACTCTGATCATAGGACACAGAGGATGAGTTAGAAATTGTAATAATAATAATAAAGGGACCAATTCAGTAAGGCAAAATAATTTGTAAAGACCTGTATAACCAATGCTACTATATATAATTACACAAAACAAATATTATTATAACTAAAGGCAAAATAGGCATTAATATAGTAACAGCTAAGGATCCTAACACATCATGTTCATCAAGGGAGACATTACATATCTCCCTCCAAACAAGAAAGGATACAAGCCAGACAGACCAAACAAACAATGGCAGAACATTACTCAAGCAATTACCCAACATATACTCTTATTCCTTCACCACATCCAGTAAAGCATATGGTAAAGTTAAAACAAGCCTGAGAAAACCAAAAACAAGAAACACCCAGTGAACTATAGCATGTATCACAACTTGTCAACAATGGAATATTAAACGACAAGACAAATTTTAGAAAGTATAAAAATATGGAATGTACATTATTGTTCCGAACAATCAACAAGTGAAGGAGGAAGTAGAAAGAGAATGAAGAAAGTTAAATACCAAAAAACTATATTAAAAAACCTACAGTAATAGAGGAAAAGCAACAGAAGAAGAAGAAGAACAATCTTAACAGCAATAAACAATTACGTAAGAAAAATTTCAAATAACTTACAGAGTGAACAAAAATTAAAAAAAAAAAAAAAAAAAAAAGCTGGGTGTGGTGGCCATGCCTGTAATTCCAACACTTGAGGGGAGAGGGGCTGGTGCTAAGGCAGGAGGACTGTGACAAGTCAGTGACTACCCCAGGTTGTAGTGAGTGGTTGTTTGTGGCACGCCCTGAAGCACTGCCCTTAGTGAGGCAGCAGGTAGCTGCTAGGTATCTGCCCCTGCGTGTGGCCTGGATGAGGACCATTAAGACCTGAGATGCACATATGTGCACTCTCTTCTCTTCGCTATGCCATGGTCTTAGATGCTGGTGTGGATCAGGGCAGAGCTCTCTGGAGAACATCACTGGATCGTGCCTTTCTGGGATTCTGCTACAATTCCTATTTCCTGTATCGTGAGTTAACCCCCAATAAATTCCTATAATCATTAAGCTATTTCCATGGATTGGTAGCAATTTAATCGCATTACTGGGCTGAAGAGTGAGACCAGACTTTAAACAAACAAAAAAACCCCAGAAATTAGAGAGAAAAGAAAGCAAAGAAGCAAAACAACGATGTGCCGAAATCAATGTTAATAGAAACAAACAAAAAAAAATCTGAGCAGAAGTAAACAGTTAATAACCCCCCCCCCGAAAATCAATGTTTTTTATTTTTTAAGCTATTGTGGACACAACAGCAATGAACATAGATATCTGTTCAGTAAAGCATAATTTCCTTTGGGTAAATACCAAAGGAGTGGTATGGTTGGGTAATAAGGTATTTCTGTTTCTAATTTTAAAAAAATTGAATCAGCAGAGATGTCCATCAATTGACAAATAAATAATGGTAACATGGTACATGGACACAATGGAATTTTATTCAACTGTTAAGGACAATGAAATTGTAAAACACTTGGTAAATGAATAGAATCCGAAAAACAAAAATTATACCCATTGTGGTAGGTAACCCAGGCCCATTTTCTTCATTATATGTAGATTGGAGCTTTGACCGTTTTGTGTTTTGTGTGTTTAACTTTGTAGTGCCACTGAAAGTCAAGAGAGTAAAAGGGAACACTGGGAAAGGAGGGGAGGAGCTTTAAGAGAGCAGGGAAAGAAGGACACAGGTAAAAAGAAAGTAGTGAGGGGCACACTGGGAGATGAAAGCCTTAAACAGGGAGGATGGAAAAGATAAGATAGGGGAGGATTAACCAAAATCAAGGGGACATTAAAAAAAAAAGGCAGATGGAAGTATATCTTTTGGTAACCAATTAAAAAACATAAATGAGAGTTTGAAGGAAGACACCCTACATGGGTTGAAGTCCTACCCTAGAAGCAAAGATAGTCACTAAACAAAAAACCCAGTGTCAGTTGTGAACTATCTCTGTAGGGGTTGCTGGAAAAGGAGGACTCAGAGCCAAAAGAATAAATATACTTATTGTGCTGGACATAAGCAGACAATTAAGACACTATTTGAAGGACACTGTATACACTGATTGGACACTGTATACACTGATTGGACCATATGGATAAATCAAGCTGGAATTGAGCTGGAAGCTTCCTGCTTGCTAGCTTATGTGCAAAAGAGGAATCAGAGTTAAGAGATAGGTGATGGAGGGAGAAATCAATGGCCTTAACCAGCTATGAATCCTACAAATTACAATACCACTAAAGGCATTACTGATATAGGGGTAACCAACCAGTCTCTAAATTTGAGGCCTGCTCCTCATAAGAAGATCTATTCCTCATACTGTAAACCTGGTAAAAAATCCATGCTTGGCAATGTCATAGGTCCTAGGGGGAAGCTTACTATTACAGCTTTGCAAGATGGACACAGTGTTAAGCTGCCTTCTGAATCTTTATATCAACACACAAATAATATTTTCTCAGCTTTCATCATAAAAGCCTTCCTTGCAGTGAACAGCAGAAAATGTATAGACTAAGGGCTGGCAGGTTGTTGCCAGTAGGTGACAGATGAGGGTTACTCCTCAACAAGACATTTAAAGCACTACACTAAAATGTTTCTAATGTGATAACACTCAGCAGTTCAATACTAGGCCATATTAATTTTATGTTCACATTAATTCCTTTTACATTAATGAGAATATGAGTACACAGGGTATCTTGAAAGATAATAAATGTTCTGAGTTAGGAAGGATGCTTCAGTAGCAGTGATAGCAAAATTTTGTCCAAATATTAAATTAGATTTGTAGACAAAGCTATTTCCCACAAAAGAAAACAAAATAAAAGTAAATGGTGTTTTATGGCTACATAGACTATGCTATAAATAAGCAACAACTGTTTAGGTTAAAAAAATTCTAAATGATTAAAATACCTTACCGGTATCTATGAACAAATATACCCTTAAAAATAGAGTTCATCATATTTTCAATTTCATCTTGGTTTTCTTGTAGCTGAAATGATAAAAAAAAAACAATAAAAAAGAAAATTGAAATACTGGTCATTTTATTTGGAATGAATAGTTCCAATTATTTTAAATTACTGATTATCTTCACTCTGAGTAGTTATCAGCCATTTTTTTTTTTTTTTTTTAAATCTCCCCCCTTATCCCTAGAACAAGGATTCTCTGTGTAGCCCTGGCTGTCCTGGAACTCACTCTGTAGACCAGGCTGGCTTCAAACTCATCCACCTGCCTCTGTCTCCCTAGTGCTAGGATTAAAGGCGTGCAACTCTACTGCCCAGCTAGTTATCAGCCTTTTGCTGACTGTACCACTTATGCCTGAAATTATCTGTAGAGCTTCTATAGTTTTGCCACATGGGCATGGGAACCTCTCCTCTTTCCACACATACGTTCTAGAAAAGAACAAGAAGTGGTGGACTGTGGTCAACTTTGTATTTCTATGGAATGATCTATATTTGGAATCATCTTACATGTCTTCATATTTTTCTAAACCAAACTTTTGGCTTAGTTTTGCTGTCTGTGCTTAAGAGGTCATCCTGATTTACATGGCTTTTCCTCCTTCACAAAGCATCATATTACTATTCTTACCTAAGTAACCTATAACTCAACTATGCCAACTTCCCAAAATATGAATAATAATAGAAAATATAAATCAGGCAACAATGCTGTAATCCAGCAATAAAATCACAATACTATCACAGAGGTATACATTTTAGGAAACATTATTCATCAAGTTAAGGTTTAAATTTATTTACTGATAAAAGCAACATAATTGGTATATAATGACATCCAATATGATATTTATTACCCCATTTTCCCCTGGAATTTCATGTCAAATGATTCAGTGTCATAATTGTTTTTATTATACATATATATATAAAACATGCATGTTTTGTTTACATGTAACAGTAAAATACTGTCAGGATGATTCTAGCTGTATGTTGTTACAGGATTTATAGGAAAAAGCTAAGCAGTACAAATGTTCCTCAATACAGGAGGTGGGGTTTGTTCTGATAAGGCAACTAGAAACCAAAACTAATCCAAGTTTTAAAACTGTGTATTTCTTATATGGAACACGCAACATGATAAGTTAACTTAGTTCACTTTAAATGTGCTGGATATACTACCTTTAGCCTACAATTACAATCATCTAAAACAAAGCCTGTTTTACAACACTGAATGTTTCACATCAATACAAGGATGGATTGTTTTGCAGACATGATGGAATGGAAGAACAGAAAACATAAATCCAAAAACTGCTGAGAACATAGTATACTGTATATGTTATTAAGACTATGTGGCTAAATGTGAGCTGCTATGGTCCAAAACTACAGGAGGTATGATAACTTTACATTCCAATTCTGGGAAAGGGTCAATATTCAAATTACAGCTTTTATGAAATGGTCAAAAACTTTCAGACCACCACACAAGATTATCTATATAAATATATATCTATATCTATCTCTCTCTCTATATATAATCATTCAAGTTGTTATACTTAAGAAAAGTTTGAAAACAGACTTATGATGCATTCATGATATTAAAAACTAATTCATTGGGATTATACATTCCAACTGGCTCTACTTAATGAAGCAGTTTCTATTTTTACTTCCACAGTATTTCAAATATGGTATGTGTTCAGAATAAAAGTATGTTGTAAGTGGAAGTTTTACCTTAACTTCAGTAATTTCAGATTAGTACTAAGTACTAATCTGGAAACATGGTCATAGCAACTAAAATTCCTTTTAAAAAATATATTTGTGTGTGTGCATTCACATATGAATCACATATGTATAGGAGCTCTTGGAGGTCAAAAGAGAGGTTAGATTTACCTGAAGCTGGAGTTATAGCTGACTGGGAGCCACCATGTAGGTGCTGGACCTGAACCTGGTTCTTTGCAAGAACCCTTGAACTGCAAGCCATCTCTCTAGCCCCAACATGAACATTTTTAAAGATGGGGACATACTATAATAGAGTAGTTCCTGAATTCCATATAATGTATATCATTATGAAAACAACAAATTTAGAGACAGATACATACATTGGAAGACCATTTGTATAGACTGGAGTTAATGCTGTTGTAAACCAAAAAGTCAGAAGCTAGAAGCCTAGAGTCAATCATTCCCTCAATGTCTTCAGAGAACATGAAAGCAACAGCATACTGATACTGGATTGATAGCATCCTATAATATTTAACCTAGGTTGCCAACTTAATTGAATTGAGAGCCACTTTTCATTTTAGTAAAGAAGATATATAGATGTGACTGTAAGAGTACTTCCAGGGAGGGTTAGATTGTAAGGGTTCTGACTTAATCAATGGTTTCACCCATTGACAAATTCAAAATCTGAACAGACTGTTAGAAGGTGGAATATAACAGATAAAGTCGGTCATCAAGAGTAAGGAGTTTGAAAGGCTGTGCCTTCATACAATTTCTCTCTGCTTCCTGGGCAGTACCATGAGCAAATCAATGGATTTTGCCAACGTTGGACTGAAACCTTCAAATCCAGAGGCAAATCTTTCTTCCTTTAAGGTATTTCTCCGAAATACATAGCAGTAATAAAAATTCCAAACAGAAAACGGGTACCAGAAGGGAGAGGTCATTTTTATTACTATTTGACCATGAATATGGAAAAGTTTAAGGATGTAGATTAGAAAAGTCTAAGCATGCCATAAACAGAGAGTGTTGCAATATTCTGGTAAGATATTTGAAGATGAAAATGCCAAAATATTATTGCGGGGATGGGAAAGGGGAAGCTGTGCACCTGTATTCCTGAGTTTCAGATTAGAATAAGAAGTATCCATGGAAATGAACCAAGAGGTCATTTATTCACAGTACAGTATGGCAAAGAATCTGTCAAAACTTTATACTTTGAGACTTTGTAAAAGGAGGTGTATAAGGATTATACACTAACTAACTAATCTGGATAAGAAAACTAAAGACAGCCATTCAGACTGGTGTGTGGTTATGGCTGAATTCTTTCAGCTAGGTTTACAATGAGAAACAGGAGCAAAATCCAGAGCAGAAAGACTTGAAAAGCTTGGCTGCATGCTCCTGCTTTCATGATACTGTGCCTTGGCACAAATCCAATACAGAGGATCCAACTTTCCAAAACTATGAGTTCTAAACAAATCAAATGTTTCTCTGAGGTGCTTTTAATAAGATTAAAAATCTGAAAAACACACGTCTCAAACTATTAGATAATAAATTTCTTTGAAGCAACTGAGTTTGTTGTAATAGTTCTGTCAAGTAATTTTAGTACACTACAGTCCAACATAACTCCTAGATTTTTCAACTGCTGGTCACAATCCCATGCAGAACTGCATAATTGAATTTGCATGAAATTGTTGGCAACAGTAAAAGGCTTCTAAAAATTCAAAGATCAAAAACAAATTAAAAATCAAACATGTAATGAATCCAAGGTGTTTCTGGCAGTTCTTGCCCAAGCTTTAGCATGGGACTTTCTTCTGAATATGAAATATCCCACTTTTCAACACACATACCATCATGCCACATAATGCCAAAGAATCCTGCCTCAAACACCTTAGCAATGTTTTTACTATACATATAATGACTGATGTTTCTTACAGACACATAATGGCATGATTATGAAAAACGAATACTTTTAATAGTTCCCTAGTGTTATTCCTCAGCATGTATCAGATTAGTGAGATATAGATTGGGTCTCTTAAAAAACTTTCAAGAAGCCATGCATAGTGGTGCACACCTTTAATCCCAGCACTTGGGAGGCAGAGGCAGGCAGGTCTCTGTGAGTTTGAAGATAGCCTGAACTACATGGTGAGTTCCAGAACAGCCAGTTAGATAATGAAGACCTTGTCTTGGAAAAACAAACCAACAAACAAACACTTGTTTCATGAATTTTGGCTTGAGATGCAGACAGAATCTCCCATATTTTCTGAAATAGTTCCAAACATGTCTGCTGTTCTGTACTATGTCTTTATGTATAGCTACATTCTAGTAATGACAATCACAAAATCAAAATAGTGATAAACTCTAAAAGACTCTGAAGATGCTCATGCTTTGCAGTTTCAAGTATTCAGCCTAGATTCAGTTCTTTTAGTGTTTGTACATGTTTATGCATGTGTGTGTGAAATATGTGGGTAAATGATATCATTTGTGTATATGCATGTGGGGGCCTTGTTATCCTGTATTACTCAATCATGTCACTACCAATTTTTTTTTCCAGACAAGGTCTCTTATTGAACCTGAATCACACATTTAGCTGGACTAGATGAGTAACAAGCCACAGGGATCATCCTGTCTCTAGCTCCTTGGTGCTAGGTTTACAGTACATTGCTACTAAGTCCAGCTTTTTCACGTAGGTGCTGGAAACCTGAACTCAGGTCCTCATGGTTGTGCAATAAGCAGCATTCTAACTCAACATTTCCACATTCCTAGATTTAGTTTATGTAAAAATAAATAAGCACACAAATTTCCTTAGTACAAATCTGGTTTTGTCAATGTATCATAAAAAGCAAACAAAATAATTAATTTAAAACAAATTTCTTTATGGTTTACTAATCATTACTGGGTGTTTAATCTGTACATCTATTTTATAAACCTATATACTGCCACAATGTAAAAAGTTCTAGGGTGAAAATGGGTCACGAGTGAAAAGAGTTTAAGAAGTTTTAGTACAGGCAATAATTTCATTTTTTTAAATTTTTGCTTTTTATTGTTTGTTAAATCTTATTATGCTTATATATATGCAATTGCTTTATGAAAATGTAACTTTTTGTATTAAAAGACTGAAAAACCACAAATTTTATTTCTAATAGATTAAAAAACAAACAAACAAATGGTTTTCTACCAAAAACCAAAAAAAGACAATTTAGCCTAAAGAGATGGCTTGGTCTTTAAGAGCACTGGGTGTTCTTCCAAAGGACTCAAGTTTGATTCACTGAGCCCACACGGTGGTTCCCACTGATTTGTTAATCCAGTATCTGGGAATCCACCACCCTCTTCTGGCCTGTATGAGAACTCTGTGCATGTGGTGCATAGACAGCAACACTCATACCCATAAAATAAAAATCAGTATACTTGAAAATATGATGAAGTATCTAATTTAAAAACCATTTTATAACCTCTACAAAAATTAGATTGTCAAACCTAAAGTAAGAGCTAGAAGCACTCAGAGATAGAGTGATTGCTTATTAAATAAACTCCTTGGATTAGATTCACTTGCACTGAAAGGGAAGAAGGGAGAGACACCAATCTTACTTAGAAGGATGCTTTATATATCAACTAAAACACTGACTGAGGATTTTTCCTATAAATACACACTTGCTTTCTTCCAAATGGCATTTATTATTTAGTGTACTTTCTGAGCTTGCAACATGATAACTGACTTTCCCAACATTCTGATAATCTTTTACTAAAATAAATTTGCATATGGTTCACTTAACCACTGATGAATATTCTAGTTTTGTTTATAGAACTTTAAGATTAAATAATTCAACTAAAACTAAATGTTAAAAATGTAAGATAGATATTTATTTTCCACCCTCCCATTCACATACCACAGGTCTCATGTACTCCTAGCCCCAAACTCGCTATATAGCCAAGGTTGGTCTTGAATTGACTCTCCTGCCTGACCTTCCCAAGTACCAGGATTACAGATTTGAGCCACCATAGCCAATTTTAAAACGTTCTTTTCACAAAAACCAGTAGAAACTATTATATTTTCTAAATATTTACAAACCATAAAAGATCAAGTTACCATAAAACTTACCTCTTTGCGTTTCTGAAGTAATAACTCCAACCTTTCATTGGCTCTCTTCCCAATCATCTTATTTCTCTCAGCTTCATATTGCCTCTGTGTATTATCCTGATGAATACTGAGGTTTAAGGCAACATTCACCAGAGCAGTCATCAGCTTCATGGCTACAAAATAAAGGACAATTACAATATTCATCTATGAAATAATTTTTTAGGCAGAAGATCAAAAGTTAAAGCAACAGAAGAAAGAAAAAGCAGTTTTACAACCCAGGAATAATTTAAAGTAAAAAAATGATAACTGACAAAAATAAACTCATCTTCTTAGTTGCAAAATAACTTCCTCTATTTTAGCAAAGAATAACATGATTTGTTAAAACTGTCCACTTCATAGTCTTATCCAAGGAGCTGGAGAGATGGCTCAGTAGTTTAGAGTACTGGCTGCACTTCTAGAGGATCTGAGTTTGATTCCCAGCATCCACATGGTAGCTCAGAACTGTCTGTATTTCCAGGTCCATGGGATCTGATAGCCTCCTCTGGCCTGTGTGAACACTAGGCACACACACATAGTGCACTGACATATATACTGGCAAACATTTATACACATAAAATAATAAAGAGTTTTAAAGTCCTATCTGGGCTACCAGGACAGAAGACGGAAGGAAGTAACACCAATGCCTTGCCTACATCCACAAATTAACTGTGTGTAACCCGTCTTGCCACTACTACATGTGTGTTACAACTGCTTCCTTTGTATCTTTACTTAGGTGAATCAGAAGTCCCTAAAATATATAATTACCATATGGACTTTACACACAAAAAAAGGTTTATCCCTCCACTGCTCACCTAAGAGTGGTACAACATCCAAATCCAGAAAAAGCACACTTACTTTCAAGCATACCATAATACTAAAAATAAGAATGATTTTAAAGAATATATATATATATATATATATATATATATGTGTGTGTGTGTATATGTATGTGTGTATATATATTCCAGGTGGTGGTGGGTGGTGATGCATGCCTTTAATCTCAGCACTTGGGAAGTAGAGGCAGGCAGATCTCTGTGAGTTCAAGGCCAGCCTGGTCTAAAGAGCGAGTTCCAGGACAGCAAGGGTGGTTACACAGAGAAACACTGTCTCAAAAAACAAAACAAACAAAAAATTATATACATACACACATATAAAACATATACATGGTATATTTGCCTACCTATGCACACTCAGTACAGAAAAAGTTCTTTCTACATTTAAGCCAGCTACAGGTTAACAGTGACTGCTATAGCCCTTAAACAAAAATATAAAACAAAAACACTGAAAACAAATTTAAGCTAATGACTACTTATAAATTCATTTAATGTTTCTAAGATAAAATATTTTGACTGTTACTGTGCTTCAAACTACAAGCTAGTTATTTTATAGTTGTATGGAAATCAGTGGACTATTGCCTATAGTGTGACAGTAAAGTATTTTCAAAATAAAGTGTATGGGAAAGGAAAGCTAAAGGGTCAGACCTATCTAGGGCATTCAAGCTCTCCAAATATACAAAGGTATCAGTTTATCAGCTTGTTCGAGCACAAAACAAACATCTACATTTATAAAACAAAATGACTTGAAAATCAAAGAGTTGAGAGTCATTAAAACTAATTTTGGCTGGAAATAACAAGTAGAAGACAAGACACAGCTTTCCCCAAATTTAATGACATGTTCTTTCAGCTGTAACTCCTCATGATCTCAGATCCCAAAGTCTATCATTACCATGACCTTCTTCCTGCCCAGATAAACAATAATAAAAATAATAAAACAAACAAAAACTACAAAATGACTAACACATTCTCTCCAGGCATTACCAGATGTAGTATAGTAGTGTTTGTTCTTTAAAGTATTTCTCAACCCATACAATTAATTATTCAACCCAAACAAGAATTGTTCACTGGCTTCCAATTTTACATGATAAGTATAATATAGGTCTTACACGCTGTTATACTGAGCACACTGAAATTATTTATACTGACCAATATTATTTTAGTTTTGATATTGTTACTAATGGAATTCAGCTTTAAAAAATGTGACAGAGGCTTTCAAGTAACCCCTATGTCACCTTTTAAATTTTAAGTGTTATTATAGAATAATGAACATGTCCCTCCACAGTGGTATTCAGAATGCCATATGCAAACAAGTTCTGACAATAAGTTTTATGGTTAAGCTTATTTTAAGAAAAAGTTCATAACTTTTTGTCCTTTTGACTAAAATTAAGCATATTATTAAAAAGAATGTGCTTTGAAATTAATACCAACCTCACAGTCATTTCAATCCATGTCTGTTGAATGCCATAATAAAATGACATTAATAATATATTTCATTTTCTTGAAATTCATTTTACAGCATTTTGTAAAATCACTAGGAAATGACAGATTGTTAACTTAAAACCTGTTTTTACTAGACAGTTCCAGAGATGCTTGTGTGGTGCTCCCTATTTAATCTATGGATACAACAGACAGTGAATAATGTTCTATGCCCTATTTACAAACAAACAAAAACCAGAATAAAGCCAAACAGTTGTACCAATGATTTTTACATCCTAGTAAAGACAAGACAGAAGATATATGCTATGGTTGAGATGTTGAACATCAGCGGCAAAGGCATAAGTGCTGCTGCTCTTTGGAGATGTTCAAATCTTCAGCAAGTAGCCTAGCAGTCATTGGCAGTGTGCCTTAAAGCAATCATGAGGCCTAGTCTCTTTTGAAGCCTGGCTTCGTGGTCTATGCTTTTAGCTAGTGCCACAAGCTTCTCTCATATGTGCTACTAGTGGCTCAACCCTACAGAACCAATCTATCATGAACTGGAGCCTATAAAACTGCAGTTCCAAATAAGCCTTTACCTTTACAGTCTGATTAGCTTGGGTACTTTGCTATAGCAATGGGAAGCTGACTGACACATAGAATTAACGCTAAGATCACGAGAACTCTGCTGATTCTGTATACCTATTTATGTGAGAGGCCTTAGGAACTAGTTTGTAAAATTATCATAGAACAGGATAGAGAGAGCCTAGAATGTTATAAATAGGCAGAACAGGCAATTCTGGCACAAGCTCAGAGCAGACAGAATGCTGTTAAAATTGTGAACACTATGTTGATAAGGTTTCAGATGAAGATGCAGAATCTATTGGGAACTGAATTATAGGCCATTATTGTGGTGGTATTCTAACTGTACTGAAATGTGATTTTGATTGTATGTTAATAAATAAAGTTACCCGGGGGTCAGAGCTATTAGAGCCATAGCAAGAGTGTGGCGGTGGTGGCACACGCCTTTAATCCCACAGATCTCTGTGTGTTCAGGGATACAGCCAGCATTGGAGACATACGCCTTTAAGACCTAGAGGGCTATACATACAGACAGTGACGAGGCAGTCACGTGTTTGGGTTTACAACCAATGAGAAGGCAGAATGACTTTGAAACGACTGACACACAAGGAAATAGCTCTCTTTCGGGAAGCTGGGACACCGCAGGAGGAAGGGTGAGATTTTAGCTCTGAGCTCTGACCTCTTGGCTTTCTCTTTTACATTGTTTCTGTGTTTCTTATTCAATAAGATGGTTGGTTACATCTACACATTATGGTTTGAGCATAGAAGAACTTTGCTGCATTTTGTTTCTGACTCAAGACTGCAGAATAGGTGAAGCTTAAAAGGTGATGAAAAAATGTCAAGGCACCTTAGCATTCTGGCAGAAGTACAAGTATTACTGGGTGATTTTAGGAAAATGTAGAGTGAAAATAAGACTTCAAAAATAAGCACAAGAAGAAAATATTGGAAAAACCTGCAATTTGGCCAGAAAAGAACTGCAAGAAAAGGCATTGCCAAAGATGGTGAGGTTACCACTGGCAACAAGAGGCCAAGTGCCAAGCCAGGACAATAAGAGTGCCTCAGAGTACCCCAGTAATCAGGAAGGGCATTAGGGCTCAGAGAAGGAATAAAGCTGTTTTCAAAGCACTCCAAGGAAGAATCATTTGGAAAAGAAATAGCTCTGACTATTTCTAGGACAGATCTAGAGAACTGTTTCCCAGGGAGTCAACTCCCTTTGCTCAGTTCACAAGATTCTGGGTAGCTGATAAACCCATGGTTCAGGTAAGCCCAGACAACGGCAACAGACCCTGTCCTGGTAAAAATGGATTTATAGGCATGTGAAACACCACAATTATGAGATCATGAAGACTTCCACTGAAATTTCAAAGGAAAGCCTGGTAAGTTAAGTAGCAAAGTTGCAAGGCCCAAGTCTTTGCAAGTAGTCCTGACAGAGAGAAGCATGAAGATGTTTGTTTACAATGAAGCAGAAGCTTCACTGGAGAATCCAGAAGCTAGAGCAAACTTGCCAAGAGAAGCTGCAGGCAATGTTCAAAATCAGCCCAGAAAAGCAGCAGTTAAGCTACAACTTTCAACCTTGTTGCTGGAACACGAATTCTGCTAGAGTAGACTCTGGAACCTGGACATGGAGCTCTAGAATGTAATGTACGCCTTATTTGCTTCCAGTTTTTCTTTGGTCTGATCTCTCCTTTCTATTCCCCTATTTCTCCCTTTGTAAGTGGGAATGTTGACTCTAGGAACTATAAATTGGAAGTACATGATCTTTTCTTTTACTTTGTTATTCTAGGTATTTCTCCTAGGTCTGGCCTGATTATTGGATATCAAAGGGCAAAGAATGTTGTGGAGACCTAAAGAATACTAAGTCCCACAAGCATTAAAAACAATGTGATTAGGTGGCTATAGGCCATATAAGGACACAGCTGAAGTCTGACAAAACTATGTTTGGAAATGGGGCAATTTGGATTTTTATGAGAAAGATGTTGATAATACTTTTAATTATATGAGTATTATATGGAAATAAAACCTTATGGTAAACTTGCAGACTACAAATGGGAAAGCCATGTTATGTTGTAGGAGAAATAATTTTCATCTTCAATGAATCCACAAATAAATATAGTCCTAAATCACAAATATATTACTACATAAACATCGCAGGATGATGAACAGAGAACATTTACAACAAATCAAGGGTTAGAAAAAGCATGGTAACTATAGCTAGAATAAGTTATTTTCCTCCGAGGAACCCAGAAACATTCAATAATTACATTTCAGTTCAAGGGAACGTAGTGAGAACCAAACTATGTTTT